ACTCTAGAGAGTTAAAGAAATAACAGCGTCGAATTTAATATCGAGTCTTAATACCAAGGGAACGGAAGGTGAAGATAGAAATTAGACGAACCCCATTCGGTTTCAACCGAATAGAAGTGTTATCGATCGAAGGATCTTGAATCGATCCTTCGGGAGTAGAGTTGTCAAGTTAATTCCGATTCGAAGCTTCGATTCATTTCGCCCCTGAGACACGAAGTGTTCGATACGTTGAATACACGAGGGGGCATCCAGGAATATCCGGCCGCACATCTGTGCCGCATAGCGAGCAGCACTTCCTCGAGACGTTTCCCCGATCGAGGATTAATGCACGCGTGCTGCATCCGAAGCACGCGGCCAAGTGCAAATACGAATGCGGATACATTATTGATCACCGAAGATCAGCGGACAACGAGAAGAAAGAGAGAGAGAGAGAGAGAGAGAGAGAGAGAGAGAGAGAGAGAGAGAGAGAGAGATAGGGAGTGTGATGGGAGAAAGGGAGAAAGATGAAGAGATGAAGAACGATGTCGCTACTTAATCCCGGCTCCTCTAATCCTTCAAGTATAAGTCCGTACCTTCAGCTTCTGATCAATCTTCTCCTCAATCGGAGTGCTCATCTTCGTCGCGTTGATTCTCATTATTCTCGCGCGCGATCAGTGAGGTGACTGCACCCTATCCTCGAGGATTCCTTCTACTGCTCCAGTTGGCCTCGGCGACGAGGCTCGCGGTGGTCACCGCTAACATCAGCAGGCACTATACAGTAGTTATCACGACTTCCTAGCGGCGAGTCATTCCTCTCGACGGCGACGACGACGAGCCTTCATGGCACGCTAGCTTCCTACACAAGAAATAAATTGTACGGAATTAGATAATTTTAGTGCTGAAGGGGTCACAGAGTTCAGAGGGATTGATACCGGCATGTTTCCGGTCTTCGCGACCGCGATAATCATTCCGGAGGTTTCCCTCAGTCGTGCCGATTTTTCTGAAATTAGAGTGGTCTTCCCGAGAATTTGGATGAACCACGTTGCCTGAGTAATAATAATCATGTAACTTTTTTCCTGAAGCGGAAAAATGAAAATTGTTATTATCGAAGGCCACAGCAGACGATAGGCCATATCCCAGGACTTCTTACGTGATTCATTCTTCTTCTTTTTCTTTTCACAGCATAATGCAAGTTCAGTGTTGGAGTATGAAAAAAAAACAGGCCTTACATCCGAGGACATTCTAGAAACATCCTTAATGTAGAGACGTCTTCCGGATATCTTCAGCACATCCTTCGAAGATTTGTACGGGGGAGGAGAGGAGGGGGGATAATGAAGAAACTTTTGACTTTCACGTTTCTGCACCAAGATAAAAGTTACATGATTGCTTTTCTGTTCGCGCAGGAACCGCATCTTTCGCAGCCTACGGCGTCGTGTTCTGTGAACTGATCTTCGAAATCTCCGATGAAATCTCGTTTCTTAAGCTTTTCGTTCACGATGCTAGAAATCATTACGAAGTCTCAGATGGAAAAAGAATTAATAAATTGTATTTGAACGGTTCAATCAACTGATTAATTCTGTCTCCGTCCGAGATCTCGAAGCGATTTCTATTCATACAGCACAGACTTTTACGAGACGTCCTAAAGACATTCAGAAAACGTTCCTAAAATGTTCCGGATGAAGTGTGATGTTTGAGGATAGCATCGTGGACACAACCTAAGCAAAATAAATCACGATGACGTCAAAATGATAATTAAAATGAATCGTAAATGATCGAATTAAGCGCGACTTTTAGTAATCATTTTGGAGCCGTTAAAGATGAACATGACGTCATGTTGACGTCTTTAACGTCAAAATGATTACTAAAAGTCGCGACAAATAACGTCAGCTTGTTTGCTTAAAACTTATGCTCAAGCAGAAACTTATTCTCAAGTCAAAATGATTACTAAAGTGATTACTAAAAGATCATTTTTTTATGTTATATCGATGTCAAAATGATATTAAAATATAAAATGAGGAATAATGTCAACCTGTTTGCTGGGAAGCTACGCTTTTCGCTACGAAAAGTTACATGATCGCTGCTCTATTCGCGATAAGATTTACATCTTCCGTGGACGCTTTTCGCACTTCTCTATCTTCTTCTTCCTCGATTGGCAACTTGCCGAGCTCACGAAAGCGAAACGGCCAGTATAATAGACGAAATATTCCTTCCGCAGGATAGCCGCAGGGAAATAAAAACGCTAAGTCAAGTCAAGTCAGTCCGAGTATATAAAACACTCTCAGCAGATTTCGTCGGAAATTTTCAAAAAATAATTCACGCTCCTCTACGTCGTCCTCTACGTCGTCCTCGAGAAGACCCGTTCCGGAATGCCGGTGCTCCGTCAGGATCGTTTCTCGCGTGTCCTACTAAACTCACCGGAATCGGAAACGCCGGTTTCGATCCCCCGACTTGCCTCGACCGGACTCGAGACAAGCGACTCGTCGTCCCGACGACGACGACGTCGAAAACGACATAAGCGGAGTCAACTGGTCCCGGTGACCGCGGGACAGAGTGAAAGACCATCGGCTCTGCCCTTCGAACGTTTCGCAATCATCCTACCTAAGCGACGCGGTCGGCTGGGCCTTGACGACGGGAGCGTGCGACCTGGGATCCCTGGAGAAGACGCGACGAGATGTCTCCTAGGAGCTCAGCGGGCATCAGCAGACATGGAGCCAGATAGGCATGCGGATATTGCGGATGCGAGTGTCGACCAGTGTCGACCGGCGCACACACTTATCGCGCGGACTGGCTGGCTGGCTGGCTGGCCAAAAGTCCGCGACGCGCATCGATTTACGCGGGGCACCGCGCATAAGCGGCGCTCGCTCAGGCGCGGATCACGCGAGGGATCACGGCAACACTCCCGCCCCCTCCTCCCCGCCGCCAAAGCAGCCCTTGAGGTCCAGACCGCGTGCGCAGAAGGATATTTCGGGACAATTAAATTTCGCGAGATAACTTGGTTTTTAATTACGAACACGTTCTATTATGTATGGTCCTCTATGCAATGCTTCAATTTGTATACCTTGGGATGCGTAACTTCTATTTAAATAGGAGCCTCCGGTTTTTTTTTTTTTTTTAGATAGAAATTAAATTCGTGCGCAGGCGATTTTGATCGAACTCCGGCTAACTCAATCGACGATTAATTTATCGAGTCGTTAAAGCCCTGTATTATATATTTCGTTAACGTTAATAAAATTATTAGAACGTTCGTTTAATACATGAAATAATGGATTAACCAGATGATGAATTATATAGTCAGAAATTTTGCCTCAGGCAATTCTATCGGTTGAATCAATCGTCGATTAAGTCGGTTCAAATCATCCTGAGATGAAAAAAAAGGTTGGAAATTATTCATAATCTTATCTTTAATTTAAGATCTTAAGTCTAGTTTTAGATTAAAAATCTATAATCTAGTTTAATCGAATAAAGTACCTGTTTCAAAATTATAGTAATCTTTAATACAATCTTGAATATGAGATTGGACTGTGAATACTGTCCTAATTCCAAGTGTTCTGAAGGGACCAGAGATCTGTGTTTTCTGTAGCTAAACTAGTATACATTTTTGAAACTTAAAGTGAGATAGATATTTGATGAAAGCGAGAAAAACTCAAGCAGAACAAATCACGATAACGTCAAAATGGCAATAAAATCAATTATTGAAAAATGATTTAATGATCATTTCGATTTGTTCTACTTGGAAACAGTTCTATTGCAGTGGGAAAAATCGAACCTCGGATCTGGCCTTTAATGAGCTGGCCCTGACTGGAGTCCCAGCAGTATATTACGGCGGGAATTTTAAAGACACTTGAGTATATCGGCGAGCCAATCATCCACAAGTTGCAATGTAGAGAAAAAAATTAACAAGGTAAAACAAAAACTTTTATTTGCATAATCTACTCAACGTGTCCATCATTATTCTCAACAAAATTAAACATTTTTATCCAGTTAAGAAATTTTCCCAAAATGTTTATCTAATTCATAATGCCCTGAATTGTACTTATGGGTCGCTCTGTATAAAATACAACACTGTAACCCTATATAGAATACAATAAATACAACACTATACTGATACTAAAATTATATTGTCTTTAGCATTAATTTGATATTTGCACATGTTTTATATACAATATTAACATCCAATAGATAAATGTTCCAATATGTATTCGACATCTATTTCTACTTCGTATAAATTCATTTAAATGATACTAATTAATTAATAACTTATTGTTTTGCTTATTATATATATATCGATTGAATTGTACCTACGTCTCAAACAGAGACTGCCTCCACATATACATTTCAAAATAAAAGTATTGTCACTATATATATAATACAAAAATAATATATAAAAAAATAACAATGTATTTAAATAATAAACTACATGTACACATATATTTCAATAAAATATACATAATATGAATTATGTATACATATAATTTCTTTTTCCTTTTCATCTTTACTTATTTATTATTATGTGTAAGAAAAAAAGTTTTCAATATATTTTTACATAATATAATATCACATATAAATAGTTTATAATAATATCAAATATTTTGTCTTTTTTAATTATTTTATGACAAAATATTATATCATATATTATTATAAATTGCGACACTTAATCGCAAAACACGCTTTTAGATATTCTGAATTTAAAAAAATTTTCAAAGAGTATTTCTACATAATTTAATTATATATAATTTATGGAATAAATATAGATAATTAAAATATGTAATTAATTACGACAGCACCCATGACTAAAGACAAACTATATATCTAAATTTATTCATTTAATAATTTTCTCTGCCTCATAAATTACATGTTTAAAAAGTTAATACATTCATATGCATAAACTTTCAAATCCAAGATAGGATAGCAAATTATCAGACTTTCATGAAATATTAATTATACTTATGTACATCTAAAATTATACAATCTTCATAAACAATGAAAAAACTTAATATTGTATTATTTCAAATTTATCCTTGATTATTCTTGTTCATTAAAAAAAAAAGAACAAGTCAACAAACGTATCTCCAAATATTCGTTAAAACATTACACAAAGTTTCTACATTCATAAATAGATCCTACAATTTTCTATTATCACCCAAAATAGTAGGGCATGAAATGTGTCTTCTATAAATAAATTTAAAAATTTTTTCTCATACTAAATGATCTAGAAAATAATCTTCTTTAAGAAGTCGTGCGACGCATTAATCACTCCCCAACTAATAAAGGACCTCATGTAGTTTAAGTGTACGCCTTTGTAGAAAGAAGTTAAGCTTCGATTCCTGGAGATGTAGATCTCGCGAGTTACAGCTAGAAATTTCTCATAGTCGCCGCCGATCTTCGACTGCATGTGTATCTTGATTACATTTATTGGATAAAACACTGTGCTGGTGAAGCCGCCGATCAGGGCGCCACTGATAAAGTTCGTTAGCAGCGATTCTTTCTCGCCTAGCAGTATCTTCGACTGATCCCGCAACGTGAAGAACATCAGATTGGATAAGCCGTTTCTGTATATGATAGGAACCATACCGCGATAACACTCAGTCACTCCGTGATTTGACAACAGATACCTGAATGCGTGGGAGGTATTCTTGAACTTTTTGTGATATCGCCAATCCTGTAACAATGTTTGTACTCTTTCAAACGGCATGAAGAGAGCTTCCACAGTACCGGCTACATTCGCCGCTAATATTTTAGACAGCACATCGTTTGCAGTTAACAGACAAAGCCTCTGCTTGCATCCTTCATATATGCTGAACATCAAACTGAGGGACAAAGTCTTTTGACATAGAGGTGGCAAAATTCCACGATACAGCAAACGTATTCCCTCTTGTGACATCTGCCCGATCGCGGCATCCACAGGTACGCCTTCCAAAATCTGAATATTGTAACACAAATAATGTTTATATTGATATTTGAAAATTACAGCAGTATTTGTTAATCCCAGCTAGAATATACAGTCGTATTAAGCTGTTTTTGTAACTGACTTTAAAGAGCTCTTTGCATTAACAATGAAATAGGTATATGTTTGATATTTGACAAGAAGTTCAGTCCAATGCAACAATAAATGAAAAACCTAATGATAATCCATAGGACTTTATCATAGGTTTGTTTTCTCTAGCTGAACTAGTATACAGAAAGTAAGATTTTTAGAACTTAAAGTGAAATAGATATGTTTGATATTTAGTGAAAGTAAAAAAGAAAGATCCAGTACAGAACTAGAAAACAGACTTTATAATTTTATCATTTAAGTGAATTTATAAATAATAAATCCGATCACAATTATGCCTTTATGATACTGTTATGATATTTAGATTTTATGTGGGATTCTATTTACACAATGCAAATACCTGTCTAAATGTGATTTTATTAATTGGATAAGTGACAGAGACATTGATGACAGCAGCGCCCCAACCACAAAAAAATTCTTTAACATCACTATTATTGAGTCTCAAGACCGAATGCAATGGAATCTTCTCCGACGTCACGTTACTCATATTAGACTAATTTTTAGGAACAATAGATACATCCGAGACAAAAAATACTCAATTGTTCTAATTCTAAATATATTTTATCTCCATCCAATGATATTCGTAGGTGTTGCATTTTGAGATTCTTCATTTTATTCTCTGAAAGAAGCAAATATGAATTATCATTGATGTCTAGAACACTCGTCTTTATCTTTAAAATTTATGCCAGAGGCATAAATTATATAACATTTCAGTCAGCTGTTTAAATCTGTATCTAATTCTTATTATTTATATATTATTATCCATATTTATATACATTATAAATATGTGTATTATATGTGTAATTTATTATTTATATATATTATGTACTTTTATATTAGTGTACAATTTTAATGTACATAAATTTATGTCTCTATATAAATATATCTATTCTCATATTTTTGTCTGATCAATAATAAAGGATAACAGTATAAATCTTTGATTATATTATATAACCTAACCTAATTGTATCACACATGTTCACGTATTTTCACCTACTTCTAATTTACGTTTACTTTTCACCATTCAACCCATAATTATGAGATATTTAAGTCATTCGGAGTTTCAGGTGCCGTTTCAACCGTGCCTGAGATTATTCACAGCTCTTTATATCACGATCTTATCATCACTAAATTTTTTATCCGATTCCTATCTGATAAACTGATATCACTTCATATCACCTGATATGTTTCGATCACAGCTGATCAATGTTCGTCCATAGATCTATCTACTCGATATACTCAAGAGTGGTATACTCTCTATAAAATGTAGGAATTTCATTTATTTCTTTATACTTGCTGTATATACGATTCAAAAAAATACGTATTCCTATTCTATAATATTTTTTTGTACCCAATAATAATAATTAATGTATTTAATAAAAAATGTAATCATATATTAATAATAATAATAATACAAAAAGTATATATATAAGAATTAAATTTTTATAGGATGTTATATAATAATTCCATCGATCATAATTCCATACCTCTCTTAATAAAGTAACCTCTCTTAGTAAAGAATCCTAATTCTGAAATCGCTGTATTATCGATTAAATATAATATAATTTTTATATAACAATTACTTTTTTCTCTTTTACCGATTCGAAAATCCTTTTCTAGGATTAAAATATACGCATTAATATGTGTCTGTGAGATAGAGTCTATTGAGAACGCCAAAAAATTTCGAAATTGAGATCTTTACCATTTCTTAGTCTAATATAGTGTTCCAGAGCTGTCACATTTTAGGTTATATTTATAATTCCTACTCACTCCAATGCACTCATTAGAGTGAGTAGAACTATGGCAGGAGCATGTTGGAGCATGTTGGAATATGCGACGCGACAAATCTCTTAACAACGTTTATGTCTCCTGTTGGAAGGCACTTTTTTAACATTCATAGTTACGAAACTGGTCAATCACAATTACTCCATTCTTCAGAGGAATATAGCTATAATTTCATATGGATGTTACTAAACTTGTCATATAAATGAATCATTGGACGAGTTCAAGATGATAAAGCGGTTAGGCATTATCGAGCGATTGAATACGATTGGTTGGATCTATAAATAATAATCAATTATATTAATTTGCTCAGCAAGCAGACTAGCCGCTTTGTCAGCTTAAATGAAAGTACGGGCCCGTTAGAAGAGCATACGTCATTAATCCAACCCAGGAAATCTTTTCTTGCGCAAGAAAACCCCCTCCACCATGATTCAGTCGCATAACAAACGGCGGAGTTAGCGTTTCGGAGTAGTTTACACTGTACATCTTAAAGCGTAACAATAATTGTCTTTCCATTTTTAATCTTTATTCGGTTTATTAGTAGTGATAAATACGTTATATAATGCTTCGCATCGCTAAGATTTTTTCATCTGCCCTAAATATCAATAAAGCCATTAAGGCGTCCTTGGGATTCAACATCACGTCCAGGTAAAATGTTATTCATTTGACTCGAGCAACCTGTTGCCAATCGGAGCAAACTTCCAATTAAAAAATCATATTTATCTTCTGACTGAATACATTTAAATTGCTAATCGAATTTGATTCGCATGCAATGCAACATGTTTGTGTGCAACATGTTTATGTAAATAAATAAAAACTCGATTTTTAACTTAATTGGATAGCAATTTAAAAAATTTGCATAATATTAGCGTGATATTTAGCTTCGATCACGAATGATTGATTAAAGATTAATTTATGTGTACATCAATTTGTAATGCCGTGTTGATATTTTTAGTTTTAAGCGTGTATGTCTAACATTATATGGACTTTGGACTGTGCTCTGTAAATTGCTTGTCAAACATATATTCATACATATTCATACATATGCATACGTAAACACTAAGTATTACGTTCTCTATGTTTATCTATAAATCTATAGATATCAACAAGAAGTTATTTAAATATTTGATCCGTGTGTTACTCATCAGGTTCTAAGTTCACAGATTCTAACCGTCTAAAAATGGGAGATTGAAATATATTGCTCATTCTAGCCAGTATATTATCATACACTGGAAAAAGAATCTGATTACATTAATTGGAATTCTGATTGAAAATGGACAAATTAGAACTTTCTGGTTGAATCTATTATAATTTTAGTTGAGATTATCAGAATTTTGATTGATATGTAATTTTAATTTAATTTTATGTTTATTTTTATTTATTTATGTTTATTTTAATTTTAATCATATTAATACAACCAGTAATGGCTTCTAGAGTAAATCAATCCAATATAGAAATATACATGCAAGCCAACGCTGATTCTTATGGCGAATATCTTAAGGTTGTTTATTCATAACAAAATGTAATAAAGTCTAGACATTTCAATCATTATTAGGTCACCTTCAATAGTGTTTGAATACAACCTGGTGAATACCTTGGTGAAAATTTTTCTTAGAATTTTTCATATAATTTTTTAGAATTTCTATATAATTTTTCAAATTTTCTATATAATTTTAGCTATATAATTTTTTCTATATAACTTTCTCACATTTTTTTATACGAATTGGAACATTTCTTAGAAAATCTACATCTTTTCTCAGAATTTTTCATATATGTTAATTATAAAATATTGTAAGATTTCTAAGATTTTTTGTAAGTATAATTTCTGATGAAATATAAAATCTAAAAAATTAAAAATATTTTTTAAAAATGATGGGATGAGAAATTTCAGAATATTTCAGAATTCACTTGTATGAAAAATTCTGAAAGAAGATGTAAACTTTCCGAATTTTTCTAAGTATTTCTGAAAAATATTCCAATTCATATAAAAATTATGAGAAAAATTTTCGCTAGGGAATGTTTAAATAAATTCGTCATTAAATTTCCCTTACCGTTCTTCTCCCTTACCTGTCATTATAAATAAGTATCTCAAGACATTCAAAAGTATTTACAATTAAAATAGTTAGAGAATATAAATAATATAAAATATAATTAAAAATATAAATTGAGAATGTAATCATTTAAAATTTCGCTCGTTTATCACTCGCCTATTTTTATTTTAATTATGGACATTGATAATTACTGAAATTCTACACAGATGTTTGGCTACCCAAGCGGCAGTGAAGATCAAGGAAGACAAGTCACGAGAAAATGCCGCCACGAAGGAGTCTCAATCTTTTACCATGAATCTCTTCCGTAGCCAATTGCAGTTAAACCAAGTGTGCCCATTCCCTGAACCCATGACTCAGGACCAAACTGAAACGTTAAGAATGCTGATTGATCCCGTGGAAAAGTTTTACGAGGTAAGTACCTTAAAGACATACCTACAACATAACCGAAGTACAAGGCTAACTTTTATTAAACATACTTTCTTTTCTCTTTTAGGAAGTAAACGATCCGGTTAAAAATGATCAGAATGCGTACGTGGATGAGAAAACGACAGCTGCTCTCTGGGATATGGGAGCGTTCTCTCTGCAAGTTCCCACGGAATTTGGTGGATTAGGATTAACGAATACCCAGTACACGCGAATAATTGAGATATGCGGTTATCACGATTTGGGCATCGGTATCACACTGGGTGCGCATCAGAGTATTGGATTCAAGGTAAAACTTCTCACGACTTTATTTTTTTATACTTCTCACGACTCATTTTTGAAGGTTCTTTTAATAATGTTGATATCCATGATAATATTATTACATCTTTTAACATTTTAATTGATTTGTCAATATTCCAATGAATCATAAGTTAATTATAAGTTTATTCTAATTTTTGAGTTTCAACGATTTCGTTATGATTATAAGTGAATATGAGATAATTAAGTATGCTGAAATGTCTCATCATATCATTATTGTTTTTGAATAAATTTAACATTTCATTTCTTTACTAATTTTATCTCTTATGCTCATTCATTGACTTTGATTTTATTTTACCTGCTTAATATATATGAAGTAAGTCTTATTTTGTTGTTTTTCAGGGTATACTATTGTACGGCACACCGGAACAAAAAGCTAAGTACCTGCCTCAAGTAAGCAACGGCAAATTAGCCGCTTTCTGTTTGACGGAACCGACTTCCGGTTCCGATGCCAATTCAATACGTTCGCGTGCTATTAAATCCGCGGACGGATCGCACTATATTCTCAACGGCAGCAAGATATGGATTTCGAATGGCGGCATTGCCGAAATCATGACCGTGTTCGCTCAAACGCCTATCACGGATCCGAAAACGGGCGAAACGAAAGATAGAATAACTGCTTTCGTTGTGGAGAAAGGATTCGGTGGTATCACCAATGGACCGCCTGAGAAAAAAATGGGTATCAAGTGTAGCAACACGGCTGCGCTCTTCTTCGAGGACGTTAAGATCCCAGCAGAGAATGTTCTCGGCAAGGAGGGTGAAGGTTTTAAGGTATAAAATTTCATAAAAAAACTTTCGTTCTCGTCTTTGAGTATCATAAATATCGTTAATTAAATCAACAAATGTGTTTAATACAAAATCTATTTGTATCTAATACATAACGCAATACAATATATTATATTTAATAAAAATTTCTAATTCTTTTGCATAAAACTTCGCGAATTATTTACTTGAATGCTGCTCAAACTATATTTGATTTCAGGTTGCCATGAACATCCTAAACAATGGGAGGTTCGGTATGGCTGCTTGTCTATCTGGTACCATGCGTTACTGCATTAACAAAGCCGTGAATCATGCAACGCAACGCCTGCAATTCGGTCGCACATTGGATAATTATGGTACAATACAAGAAAAATTAGGACGCATGTCTATACTGCATTACGTCACTCAATCCCTTGCGTATATGATTCCTGGTAACATGGATTGCGGAAGCCAAGACTATCATCTAGAAGCCGCTATTTCGAAAGTAATTCTGTTCGAATAATTTGCTTATGTAACATTCTGATACATCTTTATAGATAAGTATACAGACTTGATATTTTAATGAATCTGGATATAGAGATAATCCGCGACATAACTTCTGTATAGAAAGTACTCGTGGCCTCAAAAATATTATCGAGACAATACAAACATTTTATCTTTGATAAAAATATTGATGGAGAAAATATAATTATTATTAATTTATACATTAAAGTTACATTTTTTTCCATTGTAGTGTTTCGGGTCTGATTCCGCATGGTGGGTGTGCAATGAAGCTATTCAGATCTTAGGAGGAATGGGTTTCATGCAAGAGACCGGTCTAGAACGTGTAATGCGCGACTTACGCATATTCCCAATTTTCGAAGGGACGAACGATATTTTACGCTTGTTCGTGGCGCTTACTGGTATCCAGTACGCCGGAAGCCATTTGAAGGAGCTACAGAAGGCTTTCAAGAATCCTTCTGCGAATTTAGGATTGATTGTCGAGGAAGCCACTAAACGTGCGACTAGAGCAATCGGTTTGAAATCGCTGCCTACGTTCGGGAATTTGGTACATCCAAAATTGGCGGAAAGCGCCGCGCTTTGCTCGAGGGTGAGAATAATAATTTGAATATATAAATGGAATTCTAATACAAATTTGCATTTTGAAAAATTATAATTGCAGAGCGTGGAAAACTTTGGTCAAGTTATAGAATCTTCTCTTATCAAATATGGACGAGGCATTGTAGACGAACAGTTTATCCTCAATAGGATCGCACAAGCCGCTTTTGATACGTATACAATGGCGGTTGTTCTAAGCAGGGCAACTATGTCGTTGAACAAGAATCTGCCTAGTGCAGAACATGAATTGTTAATGGCACAAACTTGGTGCATGGAGGTATGAATATATTTATATCATTCTTTATTAAAATCTTAGTAAGATCAACAAGTACTCACTATAATCATTTATAATTTCTTAAATTAATGAATAAATATACAGGTAAGTATCTGTATCTAAGTTGATCTATCATAAAAAATATATTTTTGATCAAGAATAATTAACTTATTTTCTAAGATATTGTTCTAAGATATAAATATTATTTGATCCTGCTAATGTGAATATACAATTTATTTTCCAATTCTTAAACGTAGTTACTTAATGCGTTATTTATTGTTACAGGCATCAAACCGTGCTGCAAATAATCTACAGCAAATCAGTTCCGCCAAACAATTAGATATCTTTAGTAACCTAAGTAAAATTTCGAAAAATGTATGCGACGTCGGTGGGTGCGTACAATTAAATCCAATGGGCTTTTAAAACTCG